GGTTTGAAACAGTAATGTTTTACTATGTGATTTTAGTGTATTTAGTGAATGTCACATTTTCACATTTTTAAATTTCCTGCCGTTACATCCTGACGTCGCAGGGAACGGAACCCAGAAGACGGATGCCGGCATCGGCCGGAGGACATTGCCGGGGACACTGCAGGAGGGACATCGCTGGAGTGCAGGACAAGGTAAGTGAAGAAGAGATCCCGGAGCAGCGCTGCAGGGTATTCCCGAGTGTAGCTCGGGGTTACCGCTTGTGGTGCTGAAACTTTACCCCGAGCTACACTCAGGAATACCTCCAGGGAGGTTAACAGCAAAAAGTCAAATATTGTCGGACTTTTTTTTCATAGAGAAAAAAATTAAAAACGCACAGGTGATCAGATGCCACCAAAAGAAAGCTCAATTTGTGGGAAAAAAGGATGTAAATTTAATTTGGGTGCAGTGCTGCATGACCGCGCAATTGTCAGTTAAAGTGATGCAGCGCCGTAACGCAAAAAAATGGCCTGGTCAGGATGGGGGTTAAATCCCAGGAGGGCAAGTGGTTAAAGGTCTAAGATGGTGTCAGCAGGGGCTGGGCTTCTAAGGCAGGCTCAGGGGAGATGGGAACCCAAAAAAATACTCAGTGGCCATCAAGGGGGCAGTGCTACACCAGTTTTTTAATTTGATGATGGTAATTCTTTAAGAATCTGTTGCTGCCATGGCTATAGTTTTTTTAAGTGACCATAGTTAGAAATATCTATATTTGGCTACCAAAACTGTCAAAAAAGCTTTCCTGAATTATACACAGATATCTCCAAAGGGAACTACCGCCTAAAAGGCAGATGAGGATATCACACAACTGATGAATTGTGTAGGTTGTTAGTGGCCTGTAATTTTATATCACTAAAGAACCAATTTGTATGTAGTGTAAAAAATAAACCCTGCATAAGAGGCTTCTAACAAAGCAGAATTTTGCTTTTGTTACATTAAAAAAAGAGAAACTAGATTATAAAGTAGCATCCATGTGTTTAAAAAGGAATTATGCAATGAAAAAGTAAGCTCTATGTGCAAAATGTTCATCGCCTGCAGTATAAAGAAGGTAATGTAGACTTATAAACCAAGCAAACCAAGCCTTATGCTAGGGAATTCATTTTTAAAGGGGTATTAAACTCAAAACCAAAAAAGTGTTTTATGGAATCTTACCAGTGCTGTGTCTAATTTTTTTGTTCTGGGGGGTTCAGTAGCAGGTGTCAGGTAAAAGTCCTTTTAATAAATTAAAATATGACAAAGTCAAAGTATGGTTGTCTATTATCCAGTATAGGGTGCAAACTAAGCAAGTGCAAAGTGAGTGTGCTGCCTACAACAATATGGCGCCCTTTGCACCAGCTCAGTAAGGTTAGCTATTATGGTGCAAAGGGTGCCCTTTTGTGTCAGACAGAGCATTCATTGATTTTGTACCCTTTAGTGTCCGTTCACATATATGCGGATTGCATACAGTTTGAACCGCATCCAATCCACATGACATGTGAAAAAATATCTCTTCCTATGGTGCCTGCACCCATGTCCGGTGCACTGGCAGTGTGGATTCAGTGCAGCTTTAAAAAGAGTCATATCTGATTTATGAGCAATGCGGTCAGGTTCAGGTGCAGATTACAGGCAATTGACTTCTATGGGAACCGTGTCTAAACCGCATATGTGTGAACAGGATAAAATCCTGGCCTGAACCTGAAGTAAACCTGATGTGAACCTATGTACAAATACTGTATCAATTAGCTGTGAAAACCTCAGCTTTAATATGCACTGCGCATATGTGAATCAGCTCTCAATCTGCACCGCACATGTGTGAATCAGCTCTCAGTCTGCATTGCACATGAGTGAATCAGTTCTCAATCTGCACTGCACATGTGTGAATCAGTTCTCAATCTGCACCGCACATGTGCGAATCAGTTCTCAATCTGCACCGCACATGTGTGAATCAGTTCTCAATCTGCACCGCACATGTGTGAATCAGCTCTCAATCTGCACAGCACATGTGTGAATCAGTTCTCAATCTGCACCGCACATGTATGAATCAGTTCTCAATCTGCACCGCACATGTGTGAATCAGCTCTCAATCTGCACCGCACATGTGCGAATCAGTTCTCAATCTGCACCGCACATGTATGAATCAGTTCTCAATCTGCACAGCACATGTGTGAATCAGTTCTCAATCTGCACAGCACATGTGTGAATCAGTTCTCAATCTGCACAGCACATGTGTGAATCAGTTCTCAATCTGCACAGCACATGTGTGAATCAGCTCTTACTGATAAAAATTGTGAATGCACTGCCTACCACAGGATGGTGCAATTTGCACTGTAATAGCCAACCTTACTGGGCAGGTGCAAAGGTCACCATCATCTTGTGGAAGGCAGCACACGCTCTGATTTTTTGCTAATCTTTGACAAAAAAAAAGCTGCAAGTACGTTGTATACCACAAGATGGTGCCTCTTTTTACCTGCTAAGGGCCCTGCCCACAGTAAGGGCCAGTGGTAGGGGATGGTATGATGCACTTTTTCAGTGCATCACACAGTTTTCTTTGTATTCCTTTTTTTGTGTAACCTTTATTTGAAGTGTACAAATTGACACTTCATTCATGTCACAGCACCAGGACGCATTGCACTGCTGTGCGGTTACATGCGGAACCTTCTTGTGCACTGTAATAAAATGCAGCTCAATGCTACCATACCATACTACAGGAGCTGGTCAGAGACTGCAGACATACTACAGGAGTTGGTCAGAGACTGCAGACATACTACAGGAGTTGGTCAGAGACTGCAGACATACTACAGGAGTTGGTCAGAGACTGCAGACATACTACAGGAGATGGTCAGAGACTGCAGACATACTACAGGAGTTGGTCAGAGACTGCAGACATACTACAGGAGTTGGTCAGAGACTGCAGACATACTACAGGAGATGGTCAGAGACTGCAGACATACTACAGGAGTTGGTCAGAGACTGCAGACATACTACAGGAGATGGTCAGAGACTGCAGACATACTACAGGAGTTGGTCAGGGACTGCAGACATACTACAGGAGTTGGTCAGAGACTCCAGGCATATACTTCAGGAGATGGTCATAGACTCCAGGCATACTTCAGGAGAAGGTCAGAGACTGCAGACATACTTCAGGAGATGGTCAGAGACTGCAAGCATACTTCAGGAGAAGGTCAGAGACTGCAGACATACCACAGGGAGATGGTCAGAGAATGCAGACATACCACAGGAAATGGTCAGAGACTGCAGACCTACCACAGGAGATAGGCAGAGACTGCAGACACACTACAGGAAAAGGTCAGGGAATGTGGACACACTACAGGAGATGGTCAGAGACTGCAGACATACTACAGGAGTTGGTCAGGGACTGCAGACATACTACAGGAGTTGGTCAGAGACTCCAGGCATACTTCAGGAGATGGTCATAGACTCCAGGCATACTTCAGGAGAAGGTCAGAGACTGCAGACATACTTCAGGAGATGGTCAGAGACTGCAGGCATACTTCAGGAGAAGGTCAGAGACTGCAGACATACCACAGGAGATGGTCAGAGAATGCAGACATACCACAGGAAATGGTCAGAGACTGCAGACCTACCACAGGAGATAGTCAGAGACTGCAGACACACTACAGGAAAAGGTCATGGAATGTGGACACACTACAGGAGATGGTCAGAGACTGCAGGCATACTACAGGAGATGGTCAGAGACTGCAGGCATACTACAGGAGATGGTCGGAGACTGTAGGCACACTACAGGAGACTGCAGACATACTGCAGGAGATGGTCAGAGACTGCAGACATACTACAGGAGATGGTCAGAGACTGTAGGTATACTATAGGAGATGGTCGGAGACTGCAGGCATACTACAGGAGATGGTTGGAGACTGCAGGCATACTACAGGAGGTGGTTGGAGACTGCAGGCATACTACAGGAGATGGTCAGAGACTGTAGGTATACTATAGGAGATGGTCAGAGACTGCAGGCATACTACAGGAGATGGTCGGAGACTGCAGGCATACTACAGGAGATGGTCGGAGACTGCAGGCATACTACAGGAGATGGTCGGAGACTGCAGGCATACTACAGGAGATGGTCGGAGACTGCAGGCATTCTACAGGAGATGGTCGGAGACTGCAGACATACTACAGGTAATGGTCGGAGACTGCAGGCATACTACAGGAGATGGTCGGAGACTGCAGGCATACTACAGGAGATGGTCGGAGACTGCAGGCATACTATAGGAGATGGTCGGAGACTGCAGGCATACTACAGGAGATGGTCGGAGACTGCAGGCATACTACAGGAGATGGTCAGAGACTGCAGGCATGCTACAGGAGATGGTCGGAGACTGCAGGCATACTACAGGAGATGGTCGGAGACTGCAGGCATGCTACAGGAGATGGTCGGAGACTGCAGACATACTACAGGTAATGGTCGGAGACTGCAGGCATGCTACAGGAGATGGTCGAAGACTGCAGGCATGCTACAGGAGATGGTCGAAGATTGCAGGCATGCTACAGGAGATGGTCGGAGACTGCAGGCATGCTACAGGAGATGGTCGGAGACTGCAGGCATGCTACAGGAGATGGTCGGAGACTGCAGACATACTACAGGAGATGGTCGGAGACTCCAGGCATACTTCAGGAGAAGGTCAGAGACTGCAGACATACTTCAGGAGATGGTCAGAGACTGCAGGCATACTTCAGGAGAAGGTCAGAGACTGCAGACATACCACAGGAGATGGTCAGAGAATGCAGACATACCACAGGAAATGGTCAGAGACTGCAGACCTACCACAGGAGATAGTCAGAGACTGCAGACACACTACAGGAAAAGGTCATGGAATGTGGACACACTACAGGAGATGGTCAGAGACTGCAGGCATACTACAGGAGATGGTCAGAGACTGCAGGCATACTACAGGAGATGGTCGGAGACTGTAGGCACACTACAGGAGACTGCAGACATACTGCAGGAGATGGTCAGAGACTGCAGACATACTACAGGAGATGGTCAGAGACTGTAGGTATACTATAGGAGATGGTCGGAGACTGCAGGCATACTACAGGAGATGGTTGGAGACTGCAGGCATACTACAGGAGGTGGTTGGAGACTGCAGGCATACTACAGGAGATGGTCAGAGACTGTAGGTATACTATAGGAGATGGTCAGAGACTGCAGGCATACTACAGGAGATGGTCGGAGACTGCAGGCATACTACAGGAGATGGTCGGAGACTGCAGGCATACTACAGGAGATGGTCGGAGACTGCAGGCATACTACAGGAGATGGTCGGAGACTGCAGGCATTCTACAGGAGATGGTCGGAGACTGCAGACATACTACAGGTAATGGTCGGAGACTGCAGGCATACTACAGGAGATGGTCGGAGACTGCAGGCATACTATAGGAGATGGTCGGAGACTGCAGGCATACTACAGGAGATGGTCGGAGACTGCAGGCATACTACAGGAGATGGTCAGAGACTGCAGGCATGCTACAGGAGATGGTCGGAGACTGCAGGCATACTACAGGAGATGGTCGGAGACTGCAGGCATGCTACAGGAGATGGTCGGAGACTGCAGGCATACTACAGGTAATGGTCGGAGACTGCAGACATACTACAGGAGATGGTCGGAGACTGCAGGCATGCTACAGGAGATGGTCGGAGACTGCAGGCATGCTACAGGAGATGGTCGAAGACTGCAGGCATGCTACAGGAGATGGTCGGAGACTGCAGGCATGCTACAGGAGATGGTCGGAGACTGCAGGCATGCTACAGGAGATGGTCGGAGACTGCAGACATACTACAGGAGATGGTCGGAGACTGCAGGCATACTACAGGAGATGGTCGGAGACTGCAGGCATACTATAGGAGATGGTCGCAGACTGCAGACATACTACAGGAGATGGTCGCAGACTGCAGGCATACTACAGGAAATGTCCGGAGACTGCAGGCATGCTACAGGAGATGGTCGGAGACTGCAGGCATACTACAGGAGATGGTCGGAGACTGCAGACATACTACAGGAGATGGTCGGAGACTGCAGACATACTACAGGAGATGGTCGGAGACTGCAGACATATACAGGAAATGGTTGGAGACTGTAGGCATGTTACAGAAGATGGTTGGAGACTGCAGGCATACTACAAGCAATAGTCAGAGACTACAGGAGATGGTCAGAGATTGCAGGCATACTCCAGGAGATGATCAGAGACTGCAGACATATTACAGGAAACAATCAGACATTCTGCAGTAGCACTCAGTGTATAAAGATCAGGGTTGTTAGATAGGGAATTGCACTGGGCAGGGACACTCTGCCCTGAGGAAAACACGAGAAGGAGGGACACACCTGAACTGAAAGGAGTGCAGCATCCAGCACTTAATCCACATGGTGGGCTGGTGGATACACAGAAAGCGTTCTGCACTCTCGAGCTCCTCCCCCAAAGCTCCTCCCCTAAGCCAAAGGCGGCAAGCGGAACTGAAAGGAGCCAATGGTAATAGAGTGGTGGGTGGAACAGATGCTGGCTGCTCCCACTGTGCTCAGTGCTGCTGCTGTCTCGTGGTTAGATCTCCTCTATGCTATGCATGCAGCAAGCAGCAAGAAGACAGAGTGTCACAGGCAGCCTACCCTTAGCCCACCCCACCCAAGCCTGATAGCGGTGCCGTGGCAGTGTAAACAGTGTGAGTGCCTGCAAACTCTGCCACTGAGGCCAATTTAGAAATCAGCTGCATGGCATCTCTGCTCTGCTGCCGGCCGCACATGGCTCCAGAGACCAGCAGCAAAGCAGGGAACCATGCAGTTTATTATTGACAGGATGCCCTGGGGGGGAGGGGGTTGAGCCCCCTGACTCCCCCCTTATCTACATTCCTGAAGCTTACCAATCATTAGAAGTGGTGGCTGCACTGGTTTTCTTTTCTTTGGCTTTTTCCATCTTTTGTCACCTGCTGATCTGGTCAGTAACATGCCTCCTTTACTAGTGAGACACCACTCTGGAGGAATAAGCACAGGACACAGCAGACAGAAGCTTTGTCAGTCCTGTGGGGATGGTAGTGTTAAATGTATGAGCAGATCTGAATAAAAATAATACATTGAAGCCAAACTCAAGATAACACTTTATAATTAGTTAGTTAAAACTGTTTTTTTCCTTTTGGGATAAAAGTTTTACAAGAATAAATAAAAGTTAGTCATTTTAATCACCCCCCCCCCCAGTAGTAAATGGATGTTCCCATCCATGTAAACTGATACATTCTGCTGGACAGCTTGAATTTCTGAAAAACAGCAGAGTTGCTGGCTGAATCACCAAAGGAAAATAGAAGTAAAGCCTAAAAAGGATACTAATACAGGCATTGTGTCTGAATTGGTAAGCTGAAATACGATAAATGTTTGCTTTTCTGCTTAATACTGCTTTAAGTAAGGAGGGCTAATTCACACTAGTGCATTGATCTGCATTTTAGTGCAGCTGTAAAACACAAGTGAACACAAGGACACCAAAAAAAGTCCTGATCACACTACAACGCTGCATTGACCTGCTTTGCATTGCATTAAAATGCAACAAGTATGCAACGCAAGTAAAGAAAAAGAAGTTTGCTTTATGAATTATATTGTGATCCACAGGATGTGATGTCATGGGAAATCTGCAAATGCAGTGAATTTGAATATACGTCAAGATGCACATCAACGCAAGGTAACCCGTTTTAAAACGTGCAAGAAATGGATGAAAATGTACATCCATTTTCCCTGCATTGTTTCCCAAGTCAGTGTGAATTCAGCCTAAGCTAAAATATATGCCTACCATTGTAATATGTGCTTACCTTAGGCAAGCTCAAATATGTGCAAAGCATTCACATACAGTACTAACATTTACGTATGTGCTTAGCATTCACAAGATGCTGTGAGGGTTATTTACTAATGGCCGGTTCACACCACAAAAATGCACTCCAGATCCGTTCTGGATGGGTTTCTGCATGCTCGTTTTCTTTTTTGTTTTTTGACATACGTGTTTTTTAAACGTTTTTGATGCATTTTGGTTGTGTTTCTGGATACATTCCAGATACTTTTTTCTTTTTTGCCTGTTTTTTTTTTTCATTCTACTGGGGTCCAGTACATTTTTTATGCATTTTGACGTGTTTCCAGTACAGTCCAGTGCAGGAAAAATGCTTGCATTTTCTACTTTTTTTCTGGAACTGGAACGCTCTGGAACTGACTGCACTAGTGTGAACTATGCCATTGGAAAACGTATAACCTACTTTGCATGTGTTTTTGATGCAGAAAAAATGTACTGAAATGCATTTGGAGTGAACTGGCCCTAAAACTGGAGAGTGCAAAATCTAGTGTAACTTATCATCTTCTAGGCTTTATTGCCAAAGCTTTAACTGAACAAGCTGAAGTTAGAAGCTGACTGACTACCATGCAAAGGTGCACGAGATTCTGAGTACACCAGTTTTAGTAAATCTACCCCTATGTGTCAAGTAAAACTTTGCTCACACAGTTAATACCCCAAATCACACTTTTGAAAGTAAGTCATCCTCTGCCATTTCTATGGGTATTTGCACAAAGATGGGCTTTAAGGAACATTCCTATCAGACTTCTCTTCATTCCTCCCGCTCACTGACCTTTTTAACCACTTGACCTCTGGAAAGGTTTACCCCCTTCAAAACCAGGGCATTTTTTGTTATTCAGCACTGTTCTACTTTAACTAGCAATTGCTTGGTCATGCAACACTGTACCCAAATTAAATTAATATAATTCACACTAACAGAGCTTTCTTTTGGTGGTATTTGGTCACCACTGGGTTTTTTTATTCCTTATCATAATAATGGAAAAAGACCGAAAATTCAGAAAAAAAACCAATATTTTTTACTTTTTTTCCTAAAACATATTCAATAAGATCAAATTTCTTAATACATTTAGGCCAAAATGTGTTATGCTACATGTCTTTGGTAAAAACAAATCCTAATAAATATATTTTAATTGGTTTTGTGAAAGTTATAGCATTTACTAACTATGGTATATATACTGGAATTTACACAGCTTACATTTTCTGACTGCCTATCACATTTCTTGGGGAGCTAAAATGCCAAAGCAGTACAAACACCCCCCAAATTACCCCTTTTTGGAAAGCAGACATCTGAAGGTATTTGCTGGCAGACATGTAAAGGCTAAGGAAGATTTTATTTCTTCCCACATTTTTTAAAATGAAAAAAAGTTATTATTTTTTTACACAAAGTTGACATTTTAATGAGATTTTTGTTGCACATGCCATGGGTATATGTGGAATTACACCCCAAAACACATTCTGCTAGTTCTTCTGAATATGGGGATACCACATGTGTGAGACTTTTTGGGAGCCTAGCTGCGTATGGGGCTCAGAATCCAATGAATACCTTCAAGCTTTCAAAGGGTGTTATTTTCTCATTTCACTTCCTGACCACCTATCACAGTTTGGGAAGACCTGAAATACACATGTGCGCTCGCAAACCTGGAGGAAGACTGTTACGTACATGTACATGATTGGGCCTGCAATTGCAGCCCACTTGCAGTATATTTACAGTGAGTGGTCAGCAGGTGCTTAAAAACAAAACAAACAAAACCCCTTTTTATTACCTGACTAACATGTCCCTTGCTGGCAACAACATCCCCAACACTACAGTCTGGGCTAAACCGATCTTCCCACTGCATCTCTTTGCAATGTCATTACATCACTGCTTAAGTCTCCCAAGATACGTGAGGACCCTGAAATTAGAGAACCCTGAAATTAGAGAACCCATGGACATTGTCTACCGGGCAGCAGCATGGACACCAGAAGAAAGGAATAGGAAAGACACTGCACTCAGAAATTATACAGACTGGTGCAGAAATGTCTCTCATGCATTCTGAAAGTGGTGCAGAATTTATGTACCTGTCTAGAAATTGTACTTGAATTTGGCTCATACCGCGTCACTTTTAGAATGCACTTTTAGAATGCACGTGAGACACTTTAGCAAAATCTGTCTGAGCCAGTTTTTCTCTCTGTACACTAAGAGTGAGTTAGTCCTAATTAGTTCCACTTTTACATTTGGTGCATTGAATGTGACATAATGAAAAAGCAGCGCATTCAATGCAACACAATGTAAAAGTGGTGCATTTTAGAACTATCTGAATTTGGTGCATGAGTCACAGTCAGACCCAAAAGTGTTGCAAATTATTCATAAATTTGTTGCAAAAGATTATCAGGAGGGATTAATGTCATAAACGTGGAGCAGCAACTTTATTGAGTTCCCCCCCAGAGTGTCATGTGACTATGGATCTACTGTAAGTGAGTATTTGGGCATTGATATTAGAATTTTGTAGAAGAGTTACCACAACAATGAATTGTATAAGCAAAAAGAAAAAATGAGAAGAGTGCCACTAACTGAGTGTAGCATTTATTAAAAGATTAACTGACACTGCACATTGACATTGCACTCACATGTAAAATGTATAAGAAAATCATATCTATAAGTCTCCAATAGGTGGCAGCCTTCCGGGTGGTCAAAGGTGAGCAAGCCCCTCCAGGTGAATGTGATGTAAGGTGCTCAGAGCCAGGAAGTCAAGTTGTAAAAGTGACATTCACTAAATACACTAAAATCACACAGTAAAACATTACTGTATCAAAGCATTTCACATACATTTTGTCCCTAGTGCTTTGTCCTGTGCCCTGCCTGCATTTTTACTATTCTTTCTGCCTGGAAACTGAGAAATGTCCATGGCGTCCAAAAAGCGTCCCTTTAGGTCAAAAGCGGTTTTAGACCAGCTAGAGAACAGCGATAGTAAATTAGAACCACTTGCAGAATTGAGTGATAATGATTCGTGGGGAAATTCATCATCAGACATTGAAAACGATTTTGCGACTTTGCCCAGTGATGTGGAAACTTGGCGCTCTATTTCAAATTTCAGCATTTTTAGTTTGATTATATTAGCATATTCCCTGCTCAGTAGTACCCCCAGCTCTGCTGTTGCCCCACACAGTGATACCCTCAGCTTTCCTGATCCCACACTCAATAGTCAGGAAGGTCATGCTAATAGACAAGTTTGCTCTTCTGGGTGGACTTCTGTGCACAGGCTAATGCATTTACCCTCTCGTGCTCACAGAAATTAGGCACATGCTAATGCTCATGCACATCTGCACGTGCAGATTGGTGCTCGTACCTGTGTGTATACTCGTGCGCGCAGCCGCACACGTGCACATGTGACAGATGCTGGCACCAAACAGCCTATTTAGACTGGGCTAGTCCTCTGGATCAGTGCTGCTTTGTCTTCAGCCTCCTGTGCATCCTGTGTTCCTGTGATCTTATATCCTTATTTCAATTGCTGACCCGGATTGTCCTGACTACGCCTTGAACTCTGCCTGCACTGACCTCTGCTTGTCCTCTGACCTTCGCTTCTGTCTTTTCCATTGGCTTCTGTTCCACTGACCGGCTTACAAACCTGGCTTGTTTCTAGACCACTGGTACCTGCCTACCACTCTGCTGATCCTGCCAATCTACTATCTGCTACCAGCCACTGTCTTATCTGCCCGCCGTCGCCAGTATCAGTCTTCTTCATTCTGCTGCCTAGCTGGCTGCCAGTCTGCCTGCCTCACTGAAGACCCCTGATGATTTCACCTGCCCACCCAGCATGGACACCTGCTCTGCTGTTAGCAAGACATACAGGCACACGTGCCACTCTGCACTCCTGCGCCTTCTGTTTACAGTACCAGGGGTCCCGAGGTGCGAGAGAGGCCTTCCTCATCATATCAGTCTCGGCTACCAGGTACATGATAGTAACCCCCAGCTCTGCTCATCCTACACTCAGTAGTAACCCCCAGCTCTGCTGATCCTCTGATTTGCTGATCCTCCTCTTTCTCTGGTCTCCACTCACCTCCTGCTATATTGCTCCAACAATAAACTTTAAAAACCTTAATAAACTTTAAAAGTGCCCATTCAAAATCTAGACCTTCAAATACCAATCCTGTGGACAGGCTATGGACATCCAAGTACTTACTGTACAGTTTAACAAATATTTGCATTGTAACAAGCAGCAAACAAGCTTTAAAACAAGCAATCACTGACCCTTTTAGCTGTACCCACTGTGAAGCAATTCAAAACACAGGATTTCTGCTTGCATCTGATTAATGTCAGCATAGTTTCACCTCACTTGCAAAGTGAACAATGTGTTACTTTCGTAAATAAACCCTACTGTCATAGAGCAATGTAATAATGTCACAGATTTATATGTACACTGATGAACTACAGTCCCCTGCATTATTTTCCAGATACTGCCTTTACACTATCTTATGAATGGGCTGCTCTGGAGGATGAGGCACAGTTCTACAATACACCAACTTTAATATTAATTGTTTAAAGTTTTAGATTTAAAAAAAATGTAACCCCCTTGAAAGGATCATACAGAACATTGCATTGTTCATTTCACCATTCATTTTATACTAATATTCACTTTAAATGAAAGACAAATTACCCTCCTGTACCACTGATTATCAAATGCATTTTCTAAGTAAATAATAATAATTATGATTGTTTTATGTGTTTGATCTGCCTGGATAAAATGCAGAAAATTGGATTTAGCTAGAATCATTTCAGCAATGAAAAAAACACCAATTCTTATTCTACTCAGCTGTCTTAATTAAATCATCAAGAGCTAATTAAATCTAAAATCTATTTGCTCATCTCCAAGGGACTATGGGCTGTATGACCACAAATAATGTATACCATTTATTTATAACACTATTTTAAGATTGTATGTTCATTCCTAAAAAACAAAATATCATGTTATGCTAACCAGTTTTGTGTTGTTATGATTATCCTTTTTTTTTTACTGTTATGTATCTGTGAAGTACATTTATAATATAAATATGAAATCCTCCCCCCCCCAAAAAAAAAAAAAAATTACCTGAGAATGCTGTGAAATGGAAATATGTTGGGATCTATGTTGAAAAATGGAAACAAAGCATGCAGTGCTGCTCTTTCTCCTAATCATCCAACTCTGAATCCAATGCTCTGGCAAAAGGGTTGCTGAGACTTCAGGAACACCTAATCCACAGAATGAAGCCGGCACAATGGCATGTGGCAGTGGCGTGATAAGTTTTATTTAATGCAGAGTATTACAGCCACAAATAAGTCAACATGTTTCGGCCATCCAGGCCTTATTCATGACTGTCAGTGTTACAGCCTAACAAATTACTGAGGGAGGGAAGACTCAATAAAGGCTTACAAAAGCCTACTTATTCTAATTACACCTTCTCAGCCTAAGCAAAATATCTGCCCTAAAACCCATGACGCAGGTTTTTTTTTTTTAAATATTTATAAAATTTTGGCATATTGTGACATGTTTGTTCAGCCAAATTTGTTAATTAATGGTCTGGTTTGAGTTAATCTCATTCACAAGTACACAAAAAAAAAAACATTTAAGGGACTAGAGGTCCCCTTTAAAGAACTGTGCATGAAGGTGAAGATAACTCTGCAGAAGGTGAAGGGGGTCCTCCAAATCATGAGCGGTTGCTGAACCCATATCCAATCAGAATTAATATTTTGCTGTAAACTGATTTCTAATTAGTTACACCACCTAAATCAGATAGGCCTCTTTTGTGTATTACATTGTGGTTATTTCACATACATCAGTTCTACAGGCTAGAAGGACTCATTTTTAGTGTAGAAGTACCCCCTCAGGAGCCTCTGGTATCTTGCCCAGGCTTTCTCCTAACAACTTCCACTTGTTACTCCAAGGATCAGTCTAGGGGTTGTAGTTTTTTTTTTTTTGCTATTTTATTTTATTTTTAGAACTGGGATAGGGAAGGGACATAGTAGGATACTCCAAATCAAACTGTGCACAATTGAGGACAGCTTATCTGTGGGTTTTTCTTAGTGTATAGTTGTATAGCTGACTGTACAAAGATGGTGCAAAGTACCTCTGTAGATATGCAGAACTTTGCTCTTCTGCATATTAGCCGGTGTCCTAAGAGGAGGGGGGGGGGGGGGGGTTTTTAAATAGCATAGGTCTCAGCATTCATGCAGAACAGTCTGTACTTAGAAGGCCATCTGTGTCAGGTCACCTTTCTTGGTGATATAAGACAGGATCTGTAGACATCCCCCTCAGTCAGCTCTCTAAAGCACCCTGGGTTTCAGCATTCTGGCCCTTGGGTCGCCCATCCGAGGCCTCCGGGCAGCACAAGCCAGGGAGGCAGCCGCCTCCCCTGGCTGGATCTCTCTTTCCAGAGAGAGGAAAAAGAAGCACACAGATCACATGTGTGATCACTGTATATACATACTAGTACCTTGCATTCTCAGGGGCACTACTTCCTGTAATTGGCAGCAAATATAAAAGAAAGCAGTAGAAAAATATAGGACATCTGCTGTACAACTATTTAGAAGACAATTAGGTAGAGCCCTATCAAACACAATATTTGCAACACACCCCTACCAAAAAATGTGCATTATTGGCGGGGGGCGAGCAGTTGGTAATCACAATCACAATTTCCTAACTATTCCTAAACTAGCTAGCATATTTATACAGTTCAATATCAATCAGCAATGACAGCAATGACAGTGGAGTGACCTCAGCCGAGTTCAATCCTTGCAGACCTGTAAGGAAATACACTCACTGACCCCTTTATTAGGTACACCTTGCTAGTACCAAGAAAACATCCCCCTCACCATTACACCACCACCACCAGTTTGAACCGTTGATACAAGGCAGGATGGATCCATGCTTTCATGTTGTTTATGCCAAATTCTGACCCTACTATCCAAATGTTGCAGCAACCAGTCTGCTCATTCTCCTCTGACCTCTAACATTAACAAGGCATTTTAATCCACACAACTGCCACTCACTGGATCCTTCACTGTAAACCCTAGAGATGGTTGCACATGAAAATCCCAGTAGTTCAGTAGTTTTTAAAATACTCAGACCAGTCCATCTGGCACCAATAACCATTCCATGTTCAAAGTCACTTAAATCCCCTTTCTGAATTGGTTTAAACTTCAGCAATTCATCTTCACCACATCTAGATGACTAAATGCATTGAGATGCTGACATGTGTTTGGCTAATTAGCAATTTGTGTTACCAAGAAATTGAACAGGGGTACCTAATAAAGTGGCCAATGAGTGTATGTACAAGAAAATACACATCACAAAGAGATGACACATCCTGTCCATCAGCTAACTGTGGGAGTATACTCTCCTAAGAGGTGACCCTCCCACTGAAAAAAACAAAAAACAACCACAACCTAGATATCTGCAATAACATTCACAAAGAAAATCCTCCATGGACTTCCCCCCTAGGGCAAACTCTTGCCACATTGTCTTCCAGTTCCCTCAAAGAGAAAACAGAAGCAGATATCTATCTGCCCTAGCTAGCTTGAACTTATGTTCATTTTCACTTTAGCACAGAAAAAAAATTATCTCTTTCTCCCTTTTTTGTGGATGGAGGGCCCATAGCATCAAAGCATATACTCAAGGGACCTTTCCCTCTTTAGAGTGTGGTGTTGCCCCTTAGCTGGGGAAAAAGTTCCGTCCTGAGAACTGAGTGACTATCTTTGCCACTAGTCCTTGGCAACTGTCCAAGTACTCCCTCCCCCCTTTGTTTTGCAAAAGAACAGATGAAACTTCCACAGAACATAACTGAACCTCTGTATCTTGGTAAACTTCAGTTAAGCAGCTGCCCCTATGCCACAGCAGTTACTAAGGTAAACCAGAAGTCTCAGCCAATCGTTGATGTGAAAGTGAGGCTCTCTTCATCTCCTATTTTCAGGGAGACACAAGGAGAAAGGGAGACTTGATCTCTGCATTTCCTGCTGTCAAGGAGATAGGACAGCTTGAGAATGAGGGGGATTGCCCCCTTA